AATCGCGTGAATTTTGGACTTTGAAATGTGAACGTTCTCGGAGTGAAAACGTTGCGACGACGTTCGACCGTATTATCCTTCGGGAATAGCCTCAGTCACGCGATGCCTGTCACTTTGCGCTTTCGCATTTTGTCTGCGGCTTCATCAAGGTCGATGGCAATGTGGCGGGTGACCTTGCATCAACCTCTTCGCGTTGTCTCCGGAGATTCTCCCCGCCGCTCGATCCTTTTGGCGTTTTGCCACGGCGATGAATGGATAAAATCAATCATTTTTGACGGCCACGGGCATTCACAGAAGAGGGCGACTTACGGCAAATGCCTTGTGACCATTGACCTCTTGCATCACAGAAATAAAAGCGACCGTGCACGTGCCCGGTTTGTCCTCATTGGCAGCCTGGATTTGGTTTAATCACAGAGAAAGCGGGGGAGAGCCATCTTCACAAATCTCCCGGCGCGCGGTCAGGAGGCTCCCGGTAGCAATTAGCATCGGGGGCGCTCTCGGTCTGAGAAAGCTCCGTCACGAGAAACACAACGTTCAATTCTGGGGTGATAAACAAAATGGCCACGATAGGTTTCGCCATTCGCCCGAGTGCCTCCCGGCAAGCAAGCCCGCTATCGGCTGGTGACCAACGCGAGCGGGTCGGTTCCATGGAATAAATGCGAGGAGGCAGGCCAGTTTGGGAATGCTGAATCACAGCAGTGATCCATTTCCAGAACGAGGAGTCATGTGTCGCGCCAGTCTGTCTGTCTGTTTTTTGCTACATTCCTGTCATGAAAAGGAACACAAGCGTGCCTGTGCTCCACCGGAGCCTTCGTACTAACTCGGAACCGGTGGACTTCACAGCCCCACGGAAACTAGGCCAGAACAAATTCCAGGGATGCCGCTGCTGCCAGCCAACGATGCGGCCGAACGGGGATATTCCCTTTTCCTTTGTGCCGTGCCGGCCCGGATTATTACCTGAACCCTGCCGAGGTGGCACCGAAACCCTCCCAAAATGTGCCTTTCGCCCGCAGCTTCATGCCAAGAGAATGGAGGCAAGATGCGAACAAGCAAGAAAGGCGCAAGAAGATGGACACTGTGGCACCGCGCCAAAACGCACGGGACAAAACATGGCAGCGGAAACGCTAACAATACCAAGTGTTCTTTGGTGATATTTCGAGGCCTCAAAAGTTGCGCCGATGTAGCAGCGTCCCCGTGATGAGAGCTCGGAACCCCCGGGGGCTCCCGGAAGGGACGAAAGCAATGAGAGCCGCTGGACAGCGCCACAAAACGATTGCTTCAAACTTGATGTATCGAGCAACTCAGTCTGAGGTTATCATTTGAGTATCGGGTCAAATCAAAGAATTCCCCGCGGCAATCGCACATGAGTGCATTCACACATAGAGCCCGAGCTTCATAATGTCAGGCAGTTCATTGCTACCCTGGCAATTTTGGATGGTCTTGGCCAAATGCCGACGGAGCCCTTTTCTTCCTCTGACAGCATCACAAAAAAATAAATAAATTTAAAAAAAAAAAAAAAAAAAAAAAAAGGAAAAGAAATATCTCTCTGATGCCTTCATCCGTAGCCGTCTATTCTTAGCCGATCGGGACTTTGAAAGTGAAAACGGTTCCGAACAGACAACAAGCTGGCTATTGATTTGAATTTTAGAATTGCTAGAGTTGAACCTCCAAAATCAAACACAATCAGTTCAGGCAATGTTTTAAGAAAAAGAAAACATTCTGACCACTTTACAGAAGTAAAAGCGTCACTTAACAATTCAGTTAAAACATCTAATCACTCGTTATACTCACTATGGGCCGATTACGATGGACCGAACCGCATTACAACATGCCTCGAGGGACATCACAAATTTGTATGTTATAACAGTAGAGTGTATGTATCTATGTGTGTGTAGAGAGAGATTATCCCCCCCCCCCCAAAAAAAAACAAAATACATCAGGGTATTTTCGATGCAGTGTCACAGCGGGTCCGGCATCAACAAGGCGCACGTGTTCAAAGATCGGCAGCATTCCGACGGCGCCCTTTGCTGGAAACTGCGCTGTGACAAGTCAACAAGAGGCGTGAGGCCAACCGAACGAAGGCGTCTCATGTGTTGGCTAGAAAGGAGACTGAACGATCCGCCGGCGCTTGACCGCGCGGGTTGCTCGGAGTGCGCACCCCGGCCCCGCCCTTTGATACAAAGTCAACGTAAGCTTCACGAAGATGATCCAGAAGACACATCTCCAATTTGGAGCCCGATTTCCACCTTCTGACCACATTGGCTGACGAAGCGATGGCTCCAAAGATGATTGTATCCGAGGTGGCCGTTTTGAGGGTGTGGCGCCGCCTCACGAAAATGAACTGGGTAAGCGTTTGCGTGCGCCCAACTCTTGCTTCGTCTCGCTCATGAAAGTTTGGACTTTGGCGAGACGGGTCAAAGGGCAGCCGTGACCTCACCCTCACACACTGGATGGAAACATTAGGGGGTGGGGGTGGGGGTATTCATAAAACATGCAGGTCATGTGCATGGACCTCGGACCGCTGCCTCATACAAAGACAGCCTCAGCGAATGGATCCATCCTGCTGCTCAGCGTGCCAAACAGAAAGGCCAAAGAGAGACGAGTCAATCTTACTGAAAAGCGCGCAGGGGTGGCCCGCTCTGACGCCGCCCCGCTCGGATATCGGCCGCCGGTGTCCTTGGCAACACCCCGTCCAGGCTCGGCTCGGCTGACGGTGCCGCTGAGATCGAATGACCTTTTTGGCCAGCGTGCAAAAACAAAGGCCTTCTATCTTCTGCAACCTTTGCAACAACGAAGGCGTAAACCGCCGCCGACGCTTCTGCTCAACTTTCATTTCAACAAGATTCATTCAAGGAATCGGGGGCAAAAGAAAAGCACGGTACTTTTCCAAGAAGTACTTTCTAAATTGTACATTTCTTTTCTTCATGGGTGTCAACAAACATACAGTCCGCACCAGAATGGAAGCGAATGCAATTTTCAAGTCATTTCTTTTCATTTTTATCGGCACTCAGAACAAAGAAAATATGATTCACTGATGATTATGTTGGTCTGTCACAGTCGGTTTCGCTTCCATCATTCTAAATGCTGATGCAAGTAATATTGATAAAATCAAAAGCACAGGTGTCAAACTCAAAGCTCGAGTGCCAGATCCGGCCCGCCACATCATTTTATGTGGCCCGCAGAAGCAAATCATGTGTTTCAACTTTGATGATGCTTGCTAAAAGCTGTCCCAAAAATGTCAAATTGTCACATGTCATAAATAACATTGAGATTTTGCAATCAGTTTGCTGTCCTATTTACACTCAGTTGAACAATAATTGAACAAACAACACACAAATAGTTGGCTGATTTAAAAACTAGTAATCCATCAATCTGTTTTGTACAAGTAATAATACGATGAGATGATTCAACATTTTTTCGGTTTCACTGTCGGAAGGAACGGCCCTCGGAGGGAAGACGTAACTCCAAAGTGGCCCACGACAAAAATGAGTTTGGCACCCCCTGTTTTAAGGCCCCTAATAAGGTATAAATGCTTGTGGAAACTGCATAATGCAAAAAAAAAAAACGTAAATTATGATGATGATTTTAATCATCAATGGCCTCGCGTGCACACGATCCGTATCGGTCCCCGAAGTTTGGGCTCAGGAAGCAATTTAGCGCTTCTTTGAAGGCACGCATGAACCCCAAGAATGCAAAAAAAGGCGCTCGTTTCCGTTCCCTCGTGCAAATCGATCAGTATTCATCACAAACGATTGTCAGAAATTGCATATTTGCGGTCGGGCTTCGGCCCCTATCGGCAGTCGACTGCCAAAGAGCGGGACCATTTCGTATGCCTTTGTTCCCAGGCTGATAACAAATGTGCTCTTATGGCGCACTCAAGGAGCTTCCAAACAAAAATCTGAACGGCACCGTGTGCTTTGGCCAATAATTAACCCGGAGAAGAAGCCCCTCCTAGGAGACGGCCATAAACCTCTTTTGCCGTGTAAACACAAAGGCCTGGTTAATAGCGAGAGCAGAAGGAGCGTTCTGTCAATGGGTAGCCATGTCCTCTCGCAGTCTGAACAATGGCAGTGTTGTGAGTGGCAACACGTCTTCTTGCTGGTTGTTTATGGTAAAAGCTCAGGTCAAACTTTCCCGCTCGCGTGACCGCTCAAGGAATCGCGGGAGATGAAGCGTGCAATTCAGCTCAGAAACACAGTCGATGAAGACATAACGCCCACGGTGTTTACATTGTTTTGTAGTGTTAGCTAAGGCGCCTCGAGTGATTCCGAGTAGAGTGAAACTCCACCGATTGGCAAACCCCCGTTCGGCCTCCTTCCCGGCAAATTTCAACAGGACGGAAAATTTCAGCGGCGGTGGGTTTTCGTCCGCCTGCGGAGTTGACACCGGCGAAGGCGGGGTGGTTAACGTCTCCAAATCTATTCCCTTTCGAGCTGCTCCTGTTGTAAAATGAGTGGGACCCATTCAGCACCAGCGTGCTTGTCAAATGTTGTACAGGGCTGTGCCAAGTTAAAGGTTTATGGGGGTGGGGGGGTTCAGCCCATATCCCCCACCCCTAAATAGACTACGGCCATTTGATGAAAACACCTGACGCTTTGCTTCTCACCTGTGTGACCTTCGAGGTACCTCCAGTGACATTGCCCGCCGTAATGTGCTGACATTGAAGTTCTACTCTTTGAACCGATTGACTGTAAAGCGATGAATGTGACCACACCAACTGTTTGGAAGAACAGATGCTAATCGATGTACAAGTAACACCTACAGTGACTGTATCCAATGAACGCTACCGCAAACTCTTGGGCCTAGTTTTTCATAGATAAGCGGTCAACTTAACACCGAGTTGAATGACACCCAAAGGAACACTTTAGTAAAATGCTAACGCGTCGGTCTGTCGCGTTCCACATGACTTCCACTTTAAAAAAAAAAGTGATGTCAGAACATGTAATCAATATATTAATGTAGGCAGTTTACATGTAAAGCTAAAGCATAAATGTTACTATTTATAGCGAAAGCGCGCACCTCCAATGTTAAGTCATGGAAGCCGTTTTAATAGAAACAGCCAAGTGTGCGCTTCCGCGAGCTTGCGTAGAAGGCGACAGAAGACAAAAGTAAGGCTGAAAAAGTGGCGACACGGTGGGGAAAACGGAAGCCACAAAGCAGCACTAGTGGGAAGTCATTTAACTGCAACTGCAGAGGTCCGCCTCGCTCACTCTCCGTACACCTAAAAGGATTTCTTTGAATGGAGATATAAACGCTGCGTTACATAGAGACGGCGGTCACGACGCGTCCATGACAGCAGCGAGAACAGGTTGGAAAAAAAATCCGGCGAACGGAAGATTATCTCTCTTGGCACATCTGTAACTATTACACGGCGAAGGGATCGCGCTGGAAGGCGATGGCGAGACTTACCTTAACGATGCAATAGTAGCGTTTCAGTCGAGGTCGCTATCGATTAGGGGGTAGAATATGAAAAGCTTTGCAGTATTTTATCGTCAAATGTAAAATTCGCCGCACTGAGCTCGCTTGCCGCTTCCTCTGCTCCAACTCGTATTTCGACGTGATTGTGGGCGGGGCTACGCGCTGCGTCGGAGACAGGCGGCCAGCCAATCAGAGCAGACGCTACGGAGCAAAGACAGGAAGAAGAGATAGAGGTCATTTTTTATTTTTTTTTCTCTTCTTCGTAAACTTATTGACTATTTTAGCTTTGCTAAAAAATAAAGTACCGACAACTAGGAAATACAGTACGGTGATTTGTCACAAAAAAGGGAGGGAGAATAGGAACACGTGGTAGTAAATAGGAAGCGGCAAAGTACCGGTACTTCCCAATCGAATACAGAACTGTATCTGTAAATTTGCTTTTCCGACCGAGTCGTTGTAAAATACTGATAGAGGAGAACAGAGTTTTAAACCCTATAAACCTTTCAAGAAAACTGCTGTTTTTGATTTTCACACCGAGCAGCTTTGCTAATGTTCCTGTCCAACCGTTGTAAAAGATGAAAAGTTGTTACTTTGACAACTTCTGCTCTGCCGGTCAAATATTGAGCGATTAAGTCAAACGGCGCGCCGCTTCACATTTCCAATCGGATTATGTAACCACCCGAATTGGCTATGAAATCAAATCAAGTATGCACGGAGCCTGTTACGGTGTGTTTTTATTTGAAGGTTGTCAGTCGGTGAGGATGAGCGCCGTGCTCCGCGGTGCTTCTGCAGAAAAGGAATCGGTCCTGTTGCTATTCCCCAATTTTGCGAGCCTTTAGTCACAGACTGCTGCCCCCCACCTACCCCGCCCCCAATTTTGATCCGATTGTATAAGAGGCCAAATCGGCTATGAAATCATGTTACATCAAACTGAATGATGCAACTTCAATTTCATGACAGTGTCGCCATCTGGATAAACAGGATGGGGTGATGGGGAGTATGGACAAGACATGTTAGTAATGAGAGTTTATTTATGTACCAGCAGATTTGTTTGCATTGTTCAACATTTTCCCTGCTCTAATCCAGACAGTACAGTAGCGTAGGAGAATATGATCAGAAAGGAAAACTCATTTAGATGGACATATTTACAAAGTACAATAAACAAACAGGTGAAATTGGAACTATAAGACAATTTCATCTTGTCTAAACAGTATTTGTCCTGGGCAAAAGCACAGGATCCAGTCCAGAACAAGTCTTCAGTGAGCCATCAAGTGCTACAGCAACAATGCGGAGACAAATGGTAGTGAGGAATACTGTCACGGACACACAAATGAAAACTAACAAACATAACTGGCGCGCTGTTTAGGGATAAGCACAACCATTTAAGACACAAATTGCGCTTGTCACCATTGCAAAAGCTGAAAGACAAAATAAGAAACTTAGGATTCAAGACAAAAATAACTTCACAGTGTAGAAAAAAAAAAAAAAAAAAAGACTCCAGGACGTCAGTTTTTCAAGATGGTTGTAAAGTGCCATTTCATACCGGGTGTCAAGGGATCAAGCCTTTTTTTGTGGGATGGGGGGTTAACGCACAACTGGAGAACAAACGTGTATACTTTATACATATACACATGTTCAAAAATATTTTCATATCTGTGTACTGCAAGCTGAATGTAAAGCTTGAGTGTAATGCACTATGCACTGAGAGAATTACAAGCCACCTTTAGCTGTCCAGGCATACAAAAGGCATCATAGCAAGTTGCGTGGGAACCACTGTGTGATCTGGTCCAAAGGACTTTCCTGCATTACGAGGTTACGTATTGTGTATAATCCTGATTCATAATGCTGGCTTTCCATACAAGGATGCCAGTGGCTGTAGCATCTGAATTCAACACGTCCAACCCTTGAAGGAATGAGAAGCAGCTGCAGACATCACGTCGGAGGCTTGCAATGGCAAGTTCAATGAGATTCCAAACACGGCTGCTACGTGGCGCCCTCATGTGGAGCTGAACAGGGCGAGCTGATGCACCTTTCCCAGCTGTGACATCAGCCGCTTCATGCGCTGTTTGAGCTGAGGCAAACGGGCCAGCGGTTCGGGAGGCTCCAATTCCCCAGTGTAGTCCAACCAGCTTTCCAGCACTAGGTACAAGCACAAAGCAAACGAGGGTTGAGGAAAAACAATGTTCATCCTCCCTGGCATATCTTTCTCGTCGGCAACTATGACAATTGCCCTAATATTGGTTGAACACAAAGCTATCATCAATACAAAATAGACTGGATCAATACTCTGCGGAACTGGACGAGCTGGTGAGAAATTAATAATTGCTTTGGGGGGGGAGAACACATCCCTGTTTAGATGCCGGGTTTAAGTGACATCAAACATTTCCAAACTTTTGCCACCTTTGATGTCATCTCTAACCTGTATGGCTCAAATGGATGTAAGTGCATTTGAACAGGGGTGTGTCGACTTTTTATATCCACTGCATGTGAAATTCAAGATCTCATAATTGAAGTAAAAGTCTTACCATCCAACTCCCGCTCAATAAAGTCCATCCTGTGCGAGACCTCGTCTTGAACTGCATCGATGTGATCCAGCAAGTTGAGCTGCCACTGCTGTTGCGGCTTGCAGTTAACGGCAGCCTCTTCAGGATGACTCCAAACTTCTCTCTTTATTTCAACGTCGGGCCAGGAGCCTCCACACGTAGCCTGGAGATGATCATTTGGGCAAAAAATAAATAAATAAAATTGCTCCATACGCAGAGGAAACAAAAAGGATATTGTGACTCGTGATGTAAGAAAAGGGGGCCCTTGGAACATGAAAAAAAAAGCGGCAAAAACTGAAGGATATGCAACCCCCCAAAACAAACAAACAAACAAACCTTGTTGCTGATGGATTTAGGCTTGTCCATCTCCAACAGGCTGCCGAAGCGCTGTTCGCGCTCCAACAGCTCTTCGGTGCTTCTCATGCTGTCCTCCAGCTCGGAGCCTTGTCGGGTCTCCACCACCAATCTTTGCTCCACGGCCGGGTAGTAAGTCCGTGGTTTTTGGTAGCAGTGTTCGCTGGTGATATACGAATCCTGGAACGAGGGGAACGGGGACGAGGAGCAGGACGAGGTGCCGGCGGCGGCCCGGCTCAGCTTCTCCAGGGCGTTGGACATTAAAATCTCACCCCGACACATGTCCTCATCAGGAGTGACAGGAGAGGGGGCTGCGGTGCTGGCCCGGAAAGTGTCCGAGCTGGTCGGTGGCCTTGAAACTCTCTTCCAAGGTTGGCGCCATAGCTTCAGGTCAGGATGCGTGTTGTTTCTATGGAGGGAAACGTGCAATGATGAGACAAGCATGAAGACTACTGTGTGTGTGTGTGTGTGTGTGCGTGTGTTGGGTGGGCAGGCACGACAACTCAGTTCTTGAAAGGAACACACACTGTTCATTTCTATTATTTTAGCTTCCTGCGGCCTCCCCGGACTCACTGTAAAATGTTCATCTTCAACTGCAGGCCATTGAGAATCTCGACCACGTGGTGCACATCTCCCAGCAGCTGGTGTGTGGTGGTGATCTTCTTGGCGTTTTGGTGAGAGTAGTTTTCTTCCAAGAAGGACAGGCCGTACATGTGGCCGTTGCTCAACCATTCGCGGTCATACCAGTAGCGCAGACTCTGCCTCTGACCTGCAAATGAACATTCATTTGCATGGTGACGCGACTGGAGAGCTGCTTGTCCTTCTGCATTTTTTTTTTTTTTTTTTACATTGGGATATCATCAAAGCCCCGTATTTCTTCTTTTAGGACTGTACTTAAGTGAGAAAAAACAAGTCAGAATCAACAACCACAAAAACGTGGGCCTGCAACGCGGGGACCCCATGCCAGTATGTCCCGGGGGGGGCAAAGTCTTCATCTCACAGTGGAATCTCAGTTCACAACCCAAACCTTCTGCTGGACTACGGCATCGGCGACGACAAGAACGACAAAACCTCGAGAGTCAAAAAGGCCCCCTCACCTGGAGGGTCTCTGCAAATGTAGCAAGCATATCTGTCTGGGACATTGTCTTCCAGCAAGCCCATGCACGTGCCATGCTGCCAGCACAGGCAGTCTTCACACTGAAAGACAAGACACCGTGAAAACACAACAAGAAAATACTTGACAGTCCGGCGACCATATAATCCCAAATACTGACCTGGATCATGAAATCGTTCTCCTCTTCCACCTCACAGATGCATCGTACGATCTCTTGGTCGTTGCTCTCAGCGCCACAGTCCAGGCTCAGAGGCGGGCTTGTCACATCCACGTCCACGCCGTAGTCGTCGTCGCTCCACTCGCAGCTGTCGGTGGACCAGTCACTGAAACTGTCATCATCTGCGGAAACAAGGACAGACCAAAGAATTGGGAGCTCCTCCATTAATCACAAAGAGTAGAAATGACCAAGGACGATTCTGCCGCGGGTATTCTAGGACTGTGTGAACTTTCACAAATGCGCGATCAAGTGACGAGAGTAAAGGACTGCCCGTTGGTGAATCAAGCGTCGGTGCGTTGAAGCGGTGACATGAACAGGTTTGCTGTGCACGACAGGAGCGACACAACGTTGGCTGCGTTGCAGCTGACGACGGATATAGCATAAACAGGACGGGAGGCAAAGCCATGGACAGTCACACACGCACACACAACAGATACCCACCATCCACATTTATCTGCACTGAGTCGCTGTATCCGGGCCTGCAGCGGTAGGCCTCACGCTTGTAATTGTGTGAGGGGGGAGATTTGAATGGCATTTTCAATTTGGGTGGAGGGCACAGTACTGAGAAGTCAATATTCTCCTCAATATCTGTGCAGTCTGTTAATACAGGGAAGGGGGGGGGGGGGGAAAAGCAGATGTTGATCAAGTTTGAACATGAATTTCATTCGATATACGTCCATTCGGGGCGGGGGGTGAGGACAAACATTTTTGGAACAATGGGATCAATTTAAGAACAACAAGGCTGTTTGGAAAATGTCAAAAATATTTGGGAACAGCTCGCTCGGTATGATGTGGCACAGTTAAACATGGCAAACCACAATCCCGAAGATTGTTCAATTGCTCGCCTTGCAAACGCGCGCGTGAAAACTGCATGTTTGATGCAGCTCTTGTATCGGTTATCATATGATGCGGAAACACGGCCA